AATTTATATGAAATCCTCAAAATATCGAATAGTGGGGACAGGTATTGAATTAAATCCGGAAATGTTATCATCGAAAAAACACCAAACCGAAAGCTTTGGTGTAGGCACATCCTCTTGTAGAGACGAAGAAGGAAACCTGGTGACAGATACAGACAGCGTGTTGATGATCTGGAGGGAGTATTTTGAAAAGCCTCTGGTATGAAATAGTAGCGGTGAAGAAGATACCAACGAATAAATAAGAGATTACTGTATAGAGTGTATACCACCTAGCGGTCAGGAAAGTGGTCAGAATATCAAATAATCGGGTGAAGAATAATAAAGCAGGAGAATCCGATGGTTTATCAGCCGAACTATTCAAGACTGGTGGTGAGATTTTGCTATGCATGCATCAGCTGATTAGTACAATTTGGCATCATGTGTCCCGTGCACAAAAAGGAGACAAGATATGTGCCAACTAAAGAGGAATAAGTCTCCTTCCCATCGCATATAAAGTGCTATCCAGCGTGCTAGGGATGATACAAATGCGGCTTCAGACCTAGTAAATCTACCATTGATCAGATTTTCACTCTGCGCCAAATCCTGGAAGAGACCCACGAAAAACCCATCGACGCAATCCACCTATTCCACCTAGTCGACTATAAAGCTGCATTCGACAGCTCTATCCGTTAAGAGGTATTTAAATCCATGTCTGCGTTCGCCATTTCTGCAAAATTAATACGGCTATGCAGGATAGCTTTAACTGGCACAAGGTCAGCAGTTAAAGTCGGAAAGGACCTCTCGGAGCCCTTTACCAACCGACAAGGTGGCAGTTTGTCGTGTGACAAGTTTAACATCCTGCTGCAAAAGGTCATACGAGTGGCAAAGGTGAACAGAAATGACACTATGTACACCAAACTGCCTGACATCGACATAATGGGTCGAACATTACGAGCGATAAATTGGGACTGGCAGTAAATAGCGATTAGATCAAGTTGATGGTATCATCGCGCAAGACGTCCAGTATACTCGGACCAACTGTGGAACTTGAAAACTACAGCTTCGAGGTAGTGAACGATCCATACCGCCATAAACAGAACTAATAACATCAGCTTTGAAATCAGAAGGAGAATAGTGCTGGCCAACAGATCCTACTATGGTCTGAGTAAGCAACTCAACCACTCGCCAGACCAAACTCACACTCTATATGACCCTGATATTAGTTTGTGAGAAAACTCTGCGAAAGATCTATGTACCGATCTGCGTCTACGGTGAATATCGCCATCTATCCTCGGACGTCGACATTGGCTAGGCAGTTTTGTGAGAATGGACGAATTCGATGGAAGGATCATGTGGAAAACAATATCTCGGAAAATAATCCTTCAAATTGGATTGGATGAGCACAAGATCGACGCGCTTGGAAATCTTTTTTAAGCTCGGCTTATGAAACAACCGTTTTGCCATAAGCCAGCTAAGTAAGTAAGAGGACCCAGAATTTCATTGAAAACGTGGGTATACTCTCCAAAATACCAACTTTTAGGTACTGTACACTGCATGTAGATATTTTTTTCTTTTCATAACATGGAGTGCCTAATAATATAATCTTCGTTAGAGGGAGAGAACCCTAAATTAAACATTACAACAACGTCGATTATGGATAGGACATTTATAATATTGAAAATCGGATCGATTAATAGATTCGTAAATGACTCCGGGAGTCTTTGAGTCGGCATAGTTTACTAGAGTATGAGTCACAACATGGATTGTAAAACGTCTGGTGGTGGTTATTTATCCTCTGAGAAATTCGAAAAACCATACAAAGAAAATTGAAAATGTGCTGCTAATAGGTATTTTATTCTCTGAAACCGCCCTTATTTATGCCCTTATTACATGAATAATGAGTTTTGAATAATGTACATAGGATCACGAATAAAAAACTGAAATTGGCGGAACTTTTATATGAGAGCTAGGCCAAAAAAATTCTATATTGATCCTAAAATATATTCCAAGCTCACCTATCTACCAACCTCTATTTAAAATTGTAAATTGGAAAACCTCATAACCGGTTTAAAACTCAGGTCCTCTATCAGTTTCACGCTCACAAAATTAAATTTCTCCTGCTAATATTTATTAATCCCACACGTCTTAAGGATAATGAAATAGTTTTGTTAAAGTAGCTCTACGTGTATATATGTGTGTAAATTGTTTTTGCATCTGTCACCCAAAAAAAGAAAGAAAAAAATTACAAATAATTAAATAGTCCATTGTTGTTATTATTTTCATGTTTTTTTTCTGTTTCTGCTTCTTTTTTTATTATCGCAATGCAGAAAAATCTAAAAGCTTTACATCAAGCGCAAACAAACGAGACACTGAGATGGGGAAAAAAAGATATTCATCTTTTTTTTCATTGCTCCATTCCATAATTCTCCATTCTCCAACTATGGAAATAATGTACAAGGTCTCTGTTTCACTTTTGACATCTTTTGATGTTAATTAATTACGTGACAATTTTGAAAAGTGAAACACAGTCTACAACAACCAGAACTACAGCAACATCAACGATAACAACGAACCCAACACATACACAAACAAATATTTACATAATAATAATAAAAAAATGTAGATGTATCTACACTTCTGGGTTACCCAAGTCTGTGTGTCTGTTCGGAATGCAGAACAACGCCAATTTATGGCTGTGGGCAAACAAAAGATATCCTCATTCTTAAGGTTTGTGCCAAGTGTTTTGCTAGGTTTATTTTTATTCATCTACATCTTTTGTTTAAAGAGGTTAAGGGTCAGACAATTAAAGAAATAACTGGGGGAAGGTAGTTTATGGTAATGTGAAGCTAATGAGGAAAGAGTCAGCATTTCCTAAGGATTTCTTAGCAAAAAATTTTCAGAGAGAAAAACATTCCTCAGAGATGGAGATTTGATTTTGTTTTATAGGAAAACTACCTCAGAGACTGAGATTTGTTTTTTTAATAAGAAAAAATACCTCAGAAACCGAAGTTTGATTTTTTTCTACAAAAAATGCAAACCTTTCTGGTCTTCTAAAAAATTATTTAAAAAAATTCCGGTCTTCAAAAAATATTTTAAAAAATTCCGGTCTTCTAAAAAAATTATTTAAAAATCCAAATCCGGTCTTCTAAAAAATCATTTAAAAAAACACGCCTTGTTGGTTTTGGAAAAAATATTATTTTAAAAAATTCACGCCTCTTGGTAAAAATATTATTTATGTGCTTAGAAAAAATATTGTTTATGAGGGAATCAACAGAAAAAATACCTCAGAAATTGAGGTTTGATTTCTTTTCTATGGGAAAGAAACTGAGATTTAATTTTTTCTAAACAAAAACAATTTCTCAGAAGCTCCTCAGCTTCTTCTGATTTTTTTCTATATAAAATATCTCAGAAACTGAGACTTTATTTTTATACCCTTCACCACACTGTGGTACAGGATACTATGTCATTGTTCATATGTTTGTAACAGGCAAAAGGAAAAGAGATAGACCCATGGTTCCTGTTGATAATATGCATAGAATCACTTTCTGAGTCGAGTTATGAGTTATGCATGTCCATCCGTCCGTCTGTCCGTCTGTAGATGTTAAATTGTAAACAAAGTACGCATTTATGATCCGATTTGGATGAAATTTGGCACAAGTCGCTTATTTGGTCCAAGCCATATTGAAATTTATCGGATTTATCGAAAAATCGGGTCAGATTTAGATATAGCTCCCATATATATATGTCGCTATATGTCTTCTGATTTACACTAAATTTGGCATAGGGTGCTAAATTAGGTCGAGAATGATGTGTGCTAAGTTTCGTATAAAATCGGTTCAGATTTAGATATGGCTACCATATATAATTTAATCCGATTTTATGAAAAAGGTGCACCAAAGTCCCTATATAACTTTCGATTTGCACGAAATTTTGTATAGTGTACTGAATTGAGTCTTGAATGACGTATGTTAAGTTTCGAGAAAATCGGTTCAAATTTAGATACTGCTCCCATATATAGTCCCTACATATCATTCGATTTGCACGAAATTTAGTATGAATTAGGTCGAAAATGATGTGTGCAAAGTTTCGTGAAAATCGGTCCAGATAAAGATATAGCTCCTATATATATTCGTCCGATTTAAGGTAAATGATGCACCAAAGTCCCTATATATCTTCCGATTTCCACGAAATTTAGCATGAATTAGGTCGATAATGATGTGTGCTAAGTTTCGTGAAAATCGGTCCAGATGAAGATATAGCTCCCATATATATATTCGTCCGATTTTATGTAAATGGTGCACAAAAGTCCTTATATATCTTTCGATTTGCACGAAGTTTTGCATAGGGTATTGAATTGAGTCTTGAATAATGTGTGTCAAGTTTCGAAAAAATTGGGTCAGATTTAGATATAGCTCACATATATGTTTTCGTCCGATTTTATGTAAATGGTGCACCAAAGTCCTTATATATCTTTCCATTTGCACGAAATTTTGCATAGGGTATTGAACTGAGTCTTGAATGATGTGTGTCAAGTTTCGAAAAAATTGGGTCTGATTTAGATATAGATCACATATATGTTTTCGTCCGATTTGAGGTAAATGGGGCACCAAAGTCCCTATATATCTTTCAATTTGCACGGTATTTCTGAATTAGGTCGAGAATGATGTGAGCTAAGTTTCGTTAAAATCGGTTCAGATTTAGTTATAGCTCCCATATATATGTGCGTCCTATTTAATGTAAATTGATTGGCACAACGTACTGAAATTAGTATTCCTTCGACGTCTGTTTGGATACACATGTTGAGTATACCCAAAGTGGTGAAGGGTATCATATAGTCGGCCCGGTCCGACTTTACTACTTTCCTTACTGGTTTTTTGTAGAAAAATATATCGGAAAGTGAGGTTTGATTTTTTTTCTATAAGAAAAAAGATATTTCAGAAACGGAGGTTTAATTTTTTACCTCAGAAACTTATGTTTGATTTTTTTTTTAAATAATATATATGACCAAAATGCCGTTCACTTACCTTCATCTTTGACATTTCCAATTAGAATATCATAACCGGTAAGATCAGCAGATTTTAGTAATGTCATTGGATCAGCTGGTAAAAATGCTCCATCAATGGTTGGGGCAGAGGGAAAACTTAAAATTCCTGAATAGGAATTCCATTGTTGTACGGAAATTGTTTTCGCATCAACTTGTCGCATGCACGCCATGACAGCTTGAGGATTTTCCTGAGCACAATAAAGACAATAAAATCAAAAATTATTTTAGTAATGCAAATTTTCAAATTGTAATCGCTGACATCAACACTTACCGGTAACAATGAAGCATTACAGTTACAGTCATTTACCAAAGCTTTACCAATTTCCACCGCCTTTTCCGATGTCATATGGCTCCATGGTGCATTCATGGTACCCGATTGCATCATGCCACGCTTGACCAAGCCACGTGTTACCGGTGACATTAGTTGAGCATTAACGGAACTCGAACCAGCCGATTCACCAAACAGCGTCATCCATTCAGGATTACCGCCAAATGCCCGGGCGTTCTCCTTTAGCCAACGCAAGGCCAATGCTTGATCCCAGAGGCCAACATTACCCGGTGCTTCTTCTTCAAAACCTGGCATAACCGGTGAAAGATGTAGAAAACCAAATGCTCCGACACGATACTGAAACGAGGCTACGATCACATTGCCCACGGCCGACATTATCTCAGCGTTGTAAATGTCCAAGGTGGCTGAACCGGTCATAAAACCACCGCCATAAATCCATATTAATATAGGCAAACCGTTTGTGGTATTCTGTGGCGTTGCACTATGTATTAAATGATCCTGATCGGTTTTAGATGAATGCTAATGAAATGGAGTTCAAAAACAATGAAAATAAATTATTGGTTTTGCGCATGATTTGATTGTGTTTATGACGAGTACCCACCTCACCACCACCATTGGTTCCACGGCCATGTCGTAATCTTGCCTTCGCTGGAGCCCAGATATTCATAAACAAACAATCTTCAGATACATTTGTGTTAGGATTCCATATCTCTTCACCGGAAAAGCCAGGGAAGTATTCATACCTGCATAGCGGAAATATGACGAAGGTAAAGGAAAATATGGAATTAATAATTGAGCTAAATTTGAAATCGATTATATTTGCATTCTAAACTAGAATAATAACATTGGCAACAACCATTATAGAGAGAAAAAATAAGTGTTTGGAATTATTTGCCACTCCATTCCGTGTATGATTATGTCCACTCCACCTTTAGTGTGTATTATTTCCCTACTCTCTTCTTCCAGCCCTTGTGTCTGATATTTACAACAAATAACATGAACATTAATTATTTATAATTGAATTATTGCAAATATCATCCCCTTCTCAAATGTTGTGTGTGTATGTGGGTTTGTGTTGGCTAACATGACACCCCGATGTCCGTGTGGTTGGACGGTCAAATGTCCTGCGTTGTTATGTTGTCAGTTCACTCACACTCACTCAATTAAAAAAAAATACCCCACCCGAATAATCAATTCCAATCATTTAAATGAGGCTCAGTTATTCAGTTGCCCTTAAACTAATATGCATATGTGTGTGTGTGTTTTCTAACGATGGTATGACCAACCTTTGCAGGGAATAGAAATGTATTATAGTGGATAGTACAAGGAATTATATATATATATATATATATATATAAGCAAGTAAAAACGTTCAACATACGTCACTTTCGTTTATAACTGTCATAAAAGACGAGATAAAATTTTGGTAGAAATATTTGACACCCAATGAGAACCAAATTGGAGGCTGTTCGATTTAAAAAAAATGGCCGACATCCGCAACATACTGAATAATGGGGGTACCGTTAAATGGGAGCTATCCTAAAAAGGATATCCTAAAAGGTTGAAAAGCAAGACCCTTCCGATAAATCTTGGGGTTCTTTAAATAGGAAAAAATCTTAGAATAAAACTATGTTCTGCAATATACATTTTAAATTGCGTATCAAAATCATTTGATGGTTTCCAGGAATTATAGATGTTTATCTTCCAATCCATGCATATTTTGCGAAATTTCATTTAACGGCTAAGATTTAGTACACATTGCATTAAAGTACCCAAAAACTCGTAAACGCGAATGATTTCCGAAAAGTCCATATGCCTTTAACAAGCATCCGATTTCGAAGTGCACCCTAAAAAATACATCGACCTGAGAAACGACCATATGAAATGACTTGCTAAAAGAGAGCGCAGAGAATGAGCTTATTAAACCATGTAAACAAGGGCACCAGTTCATATGCTTGCCCAGCACTAATTAAGAATCATGGATGGCCCAGTTCACACTATTTTTGATATAAATTAGGTTTATCTCTCTTTCGGCTGAAGTTTTCGCAAAAGTTCAAAATCCGTATCAGATCATTTATTGAAACGGAAATGATCCACAGAAAATGCAAATAGATCCGCGATTTTTCGAAAACAGTTTTTTTTTCAAATTTCGTGCTTTTGGCCAGTTCTCTTCGTACCATGCCAAATATAAAAATTTCGCCGGAAAATAGAAATTTGATCGGACAAAAGTTCTACCTTCGGATGAATATTACTCTTAAGCCGTACATACTCGTACCGAATACACAATATATATAAATATATATATAGCTAAAATGCAAAAAGGCGTAACTAAGAAAAAATTGAAAATTGACTTTTTGAATGAATATTGTGAAAGTCAATAAACTACATGTGTTGACAAAGTTTTACACGTCTGCGGTCAAAAAAGGAGCTTCTATTAACAAAAAACAAAAAGACGTAACTACAAGTGGGTTTATTTGATAAATGAAAAAATAGTCTTTTATTCTTCATATGTAATATCACCCTGCCGGGCATACTTTTTCATTTCACATGACATGTTTATAGTTTTCATTCAAAACAGTTGTTTGCTTCTCCTACACAATTATGCTTTTGTTAGTTACGCCTTTTTGCATTTTAGCTGACGATATATATAATTTTACTCAGACTCGCGACTACAACAATCCTAAAATTATTTTTTGGAAATTCGTGATTTCTCATTGAAACTAGAAAAACAATTCAAAAACCACTCGAAATCGACCTTAATCGACCTCGGGAGAATACTTTGAGGTGTTGCAAACGGAATATCAAATTTAATATACAATAAAAATTGGCGTAAAAGAGTGTTTAATTACGCCATTACGTCATTCTAAATTGTCCGGAGGAAGTTCTGTATCCTCTAACAATTATTCTACGTTCATCAACATGACTACTATTTTTTAACTTCCAAAAAATTGGGAGGCCAAATGAGGAGGAACTTTTATGGTCCAAAACATGTTTTTCAGAATGTCAAATTACAGCCTCAAAATACCGAAGAAAGGACCAACACTTTTATAAGGGGCAATGTAATATACAATTACAATCATTTCGGGTTGAGTCTGTGGCTAACCGGAACCTTATTTTTGAATAAACAAGACCGCTAAAACTTTTAAAATACCGAAAATCTGACGAGGTATTATATTAGAGTTATGCCAAAACATGGACATATATAGGGAAAATTTAACGTAAAGATGATATTCATCTTCCCAGAATGCCAAATTACAGATACTTTGATCGGAAAATCCTTGTAGAACCTTTACGGAGGGACTATTCCAAAAGATTGATTTAGGTTGAACATCTCCATGAACCCAGAATATCAAATTATAGCCTCTTTGGTTGACAAATGCGGTTAAAACCTTCACAATGCTGAAAATGAGTCGTCCCGATTATATGGGAGGTTGCCAAAACATTGAATTATATTAAAAAAATTGTGTATCCTACAACTATAATGTGGATTGCCAAATTATAATTTATTTGTATTCTGAAATAATCTGACATTTATATATTTACTCAGTGCACTTTGACTTACACCCATGTGTTGTGTTGTTTACTAGGCCTTGAGAACTTAGTTCGCAAAAATTTAATTAAGCCATGAACTGTTTTGTACGATCATTGTTTCAAAACATTAGGCGACAAGATTCAAAAAATAAAAAGTATCGCTGCACCTGGCCGAATATTGTACAGCTGTTTAAAGTTGTTAGCAATGTGGATAAAAATAACAACAATAATTGAGTTTATATTTTCCACGACAGGAACAATCGTTATTAGCTACAATTGACCACATTTATAATAAACGTACAAATGCACACACATATGAAGATGGCATATACATATAAAGGGTGAGATGAAAAACTGCAACCAACTTCAGACTGCTGCCATTTCTAAGCCACTTGTCCGACAGCTGTTAAAATTATTCCAGTGACAGCTCATTATATTGTTTACAAGCTTACAAAAGCATTTTGGTGAGGATTTTCCAAAAAAAAAAAGTTATTCGTGATGGAAATCAAGCGTGATAGTGTGATTTCTTTATATTTGGCTGAAAAACCACAAGTGGCTATCGTTAGAGCACTCCAGCATTTAAATGTGAATATATCGTTTGTGTCTCGTACCATAGCTGGTTGCCGTGATACTGGTAGCGTAGCCCGATGTCAAGGAAGCGGACGGAAGAAAACAGCAATATCAACAGATATGGTTCGAAAAATAAAGAAGCGACTTGATCGAAACCCGCGTCGCTGTGGCCGAAAAATGGCTCGTGAGCTGAACATATTGCAATATTCTATTCGGCAAATATGGAAAAAGGAGCTCGGCGTAAAGCCATTGAATTTCCAAAAAGTGCAATAACTTCCAAAGCAAGGGTAAGAGCTAAAGTAGTAGCTCAAAAGAGCTAAAGAGTAGCTTCGCTTGTCCGAAAGTGGTAAACTGTCGAATTTAGTTTTCTCCGATGAGAAAACATTTGTTGTCCAGCAGTTTGTAAACAAAGAAACAAAATGATCATGTTTATTTGCCAAAAAAGTCAGCTGAAAATGTGCACCTTCGGATGATGTGGACCGCCATAACAGCCGATGATCGCCGAATATTATCGCGAAAATATTCTGGAGGGTGTATTAAAACCTTGGGCACGCAAACATTTTGGCCGCAGACTTTGGATATTACAACAGCACCATCGCACTCAGCACGAATGGTTACAAAATGAGGTTCCTCGCTTCATTTCTAGCGCACAATGGCCACCAAAATCTCCGGATACCAATCCGTTGGACTATTGTGTCTGGAGTATTTTGGAAAGCAATGTTGGCACTAAAAAATACGAAAGTGTCGATCACCTCAAGCAAGCGCTTCGCCGGGAATGAGTCAAAATACCGTAGGGCAATATTCAGGCAGCGTGTGAGGTTTTCAGTGGCCGTTTGAAGGCCACTAATCTTGTTCTAAAATTTGATGCTATTTCCGACATTTTTAACTTTCATTCAATAAAATTAAAACAAATTTTAAAATTATGGCGTTTGACTTTGTTGCAGTTTTTTTATCTCACCCTGTATGGAAAAATATTGTTATATTTCTGATTATTTTTTGGAAAGCCCTCGGAGGTCCGAAGGATGAGTTTTCCAAATATCATGTTTTTTTGTGGTAGCTCTTATTTTCAGGAAGCAAAAGCTTTATATCCTTGTTTGCAGGTTAATTTCAAATCAAAAAAAAAATTGTATAGCATTTCCCAAAATATTCAAAAAATTATTCAGTATTATAAGGAATATTCTATCACTCACAAAATTTCGCTGCTCAGAAAAAATTTCTAACATATATATCGGGCAATAATGATATATGGTGATTGAAAAACTATATGGACTAATATAACCCATATTCGAACTTTAAATGCCCATGAGTCTCTCATTACCTGCAATACAGTACATTCATGGAGCTAGCAGGACCACAATGGCAGAATTTGCTTCGAACAAAAGCAGGACCTTCCAATATATCTATAAGATTTCTCAATATAACTATATACATATATATATATATATATAAGGTCTTTCTTCCACCTATAAAATTATCGCCATTAATCTATAGAAGCATATGCTTCTGTAATCTGTCTTCCAACTTTGAATTTCCACTCATATAACCCACATATGTACTGTATTCTATTTATATCAATGCATAACAGGACCTGCTCTCCCCTATATCATTCGATATAAAAAATTTCGTGATTCTATTTCCTTTC